CCCTAACTGACTAAAACAGGTAGTCTGGTACATGAATCTTATGTATATCAGTTGCATTATCCTGCTAAGAGATTCTTAACTGTAAGAAATCCTGCTGTTAGACACTTCTGGAACACATTGTGTCCCATGTTCTTAGCTTTGATAACTTTGTTTTAGTAATGACCAGTATTAAAGTATCAAGCTGACACAACTCAAGAACCTGAAACACATTACAACATTTCTTTCTTGTAAGTTTTCTATTAAGATTGTGATAATTCCTCTGGCAATGATCACACTAAGACATAATTGAGTTTCCTAACTGTAAGTAGTCAATGACAGGGGAGCACTATTAAATGTACCCAATAACTGAAGAACTGTTTAAAACTCATGAAGGCCAGTTTTCTATTACACAGTTCTAGTCCTAGAAATCTTTTTTGTGAATATCATATTGTTAAGTTTAGCCTATGTCTGCCAGTTTAAATATCCTCACTTCGTGGCTTAAGCTTTTTATATATGAATACAGATATCACTGTGGTTGCGATGCAAGGGCCAAGAAGGCCCACCCNTTTCTAGATAATTACATTATAATAATTTATTAATAATTAATATTAATAATTATTAAATTATAATAAATTAAAATAATTATGTCCCCACATAATATAAATTCTGAGTTATACCTATGAAGAAAATTAAGTATATAGTCCAGTTTGTTTAAAAAAATAGTCATAATCGCCCGCTGGGGCTCTGTATATAGAGAGAATAATTACCTTTTTCTCATCAAGTTCTAATTGAATGGCCGCAATTTCCGTGTCTCGTTCCTTACAATATTTTTGTAGATTTATGGTAGTAAAATTTAGATCATCTGGAATGAATATACAGACTCCACCATTTTTTAACTTCTTCCTACAATATCTTGTACCTAATTTATATTTAGAGATACGTGAAGCATCCATTTCAGTCTGTTAGATGATGTTCTGTCAAACAAATTACACTGGGTTCCTCATTTAATAAAGATATCATTCACTCGTTAATTTTCCCTTTTATTCCCCTAATATTTAGATGAAATATCTTAAATAGGTTATGACTGATTACTTAGTTGTTCAAATACAATATGCTTTTGTCTATTTCAAATTACTTCTGCCATAAAAAAAATCCTTGCTTCTTGTGATGCTGGCTTTAGTTTGCCTACTTGAGGTCCTACCATCTGATATTCTACCTTCTTATGAAGGGCTCTAGTAAAAACTGGGACCCAGTCATGGTCTGAGAGTGTGGCATGACCACAAATTTGTGCCTACATATGAAGTGCTATCAGAAAATTCTAGGACTAGGTCAAAAAATAAATGCTAGCTTAACTACAATATCTCCTTCTAGACAACATGAAAAATCAGCTGCTGATGTACCTACTGGAGAGAAAGAGGATGAATACATGCTACATGAAACTGCCCAGACAGCTACTCAATGCCACAGTTTTTGATTCCCCCCTCACATATAGAACAAAATTTATTCACAAAATTTACCTTTTGAAATTCTAGATTTGACTGAGGGATTACTGAAGGCCGTGCCATAGCTCAAGCGGTTAGTTGCTGGCTTCCCACCGCAGCAGCCTGGGTTCGATCCTGGGTCTGGTCAAGTGGGATTTGTGGTGGACAAAGTGGTGCTGGGGCGGGTTTCCTGTGAATACTTCGTTTCCCCTGCCAATCTTAATTCCACCAAATTCTCCATCATCATAATCACCTGGGGCAGGCTACAATAGGCCAATCAGTGGCTGCTGTGACAAGTGGACCCAGTTGGNNGCCAGTCAGTGGCCGCCATGCTGAGTGGACCCAGTTGGACTCCCCCCCCCCACTAAGCAAATTAAAAAAAAATGGATTACTGATGTAGTCCATTCGGCACAAGGTGCCGGGTTGCCAAGGTGACCATAATGGTGTAGAGAGATTTAAAGAATGGCGTTTTCTTAGAATACTTCCCACAAAAAAAAATCTAAGCTAGCAAGACTGTGAGTCATCTCTAGCAAGAAAGTCCAAAGAAGGAGACTGTATACTATGGTATAGTATAATTCACGCTGAATAAGGTAACCTGCAGTTTGCAAGTCAATTATAAAGAATGCCACTTCATTCTTACCCACACATAAACAAGAACCATTTGAGTCAGAAAAGAATTTCCCACACAATTCCTGACTGAAATATAATTATTTTCCGATACAGGGGAGAATGAACTCTGACCATCTTCTGACAACAATGTTCTAATATACTGGGAAGAAGGATACAGGTCTCCAAAGCAAGGAAGAGATGGAGCTCAAGATCAGAATAGGTTTCTTGTATGTAATCCGACTGTAGGTGACAATGTTATCAACAAATTACTCAATACCAGAGGTTTGAGACAAGAGCATGTGAAGGCATGGTAGTTGAAGTTGCTTGTCACCAGGGTTACTTTCTCCAACTTATGAGACATCTATTGATACTCATGTGAGCAATTGGAATATATTATTCCAGTAATTCAATGACTGCTCTCTGCCGATTTCCAGGGCTGGTATGGGCTGGATATTACAAGGCAAAGATGAAGAAGCATTACTTTCCTAATGACTTACTGATGTGTCAGTAGCTTAATCTTCCTCTTTGTGGCCCTCTGCCTGGCTGCTTCAGTCATCAACCTGTTTGTTCGCTTACACCACTAAGGAATGTAAATTCTTGTGAGACATATCACAATACCATCTACTATCCATTGGTAGTGAAGTGAACAACCAGTACACCTAATCCACTCAAAGTCAATGGTGCTCTTAATGGCAGCTGTGATATGCTGCTCCACTGAATCGAAGTGGGCCATCTTTGCCATCATATGCTCCACTAGAGTTACAGCAGTACCAACAGGCTCCACAAGTTTCTCAGAAGGATAGGTCAGAGACTGTTCTGTATCACTGCACTCCTTGAAATATATGAAAACATTGGCTGATTGCAGCACTTCAGATGTCAGGCATGTCTTGCATGCATCACAGCTGAGACCACGAAGCACCTGTCCGGCAATGGAACCACTGATGTAGGCTACTGAGAACACTTCCATGTCACCAGCAGGTACTGCAGAACTCGTGTCCATCTGTACTTGCTGAGCAATATGGAAACTCTCAGGCACACCAGCAGGGGTTTCCTTGTCATGATCTGTGGAAAGAATTCATGAAGCAGCATCAGGATCCCTGAGGAACGACTGTAGGTTATTCAGAAGAGTAGCACCATCATCCTCACAATTAGTTCACCCAAGACCTCTAAAAGCAAGGCCACTGATGATGCCAATCTTCAGGGCATCTACAAACTCTCCAACTGTTGGATTACTGTTACAACCACAGTTCAAACAAATATCCCCAAACGTGTTCTCAAGGGGATCCTGATCCAGAAGAGTAGCACCATCATCCTCGTAATTAGTTCCCCCAAGACATCTAAAAGCAAGGCCATTCATGATGCCAGTCTTCAAGGCATCTACAAACTGTCCCACTGTTGGGTTACTGTTAGAACCACAGTTCAAACAAATATCCCCAAATGTGTTCTCAAGGGGTTCCTGATTCAGGTTTCGGGTGTGAAGGTACTTAAAACCTGCCTCTTTCAGTGTCCTCCACACATGCTGGGCAGCAGTGATGTCAATTAGCCACCCATTGTGTGAAGGAGGAGGTTGAAGAAAGGTGGGTTTACCATTCCTGAGGAAGATCCAACTATTTATCCCCATACTTGCCCTTTTCCAGTGCTCTATATGGGGACTGTTATCGTTGAGTGGGCAACACACTGTTTTCCAAGGGTCAACATACGTTCCACCATTGAAATTATCAAAGAGCTTCTCAACCTCTTCAACAAACGCAGCTGTCACCAGGTATTCGCTGCATCACCCTCCTGAAAGAACATTAAAAAGGGAGTTAGTGAGCTTCCTTACATTATGGACTTCCATAATTCTTCGGACTGGAAAATAACACACTTTGCAAAGGACTGCTATAAAAAAGGATTTGTGAATTTGATTACTTTATTCCTCACTGCAAAGACTTTGCCATCTCTTTCTCTCATAAATCATATTACTGATAGTGTGTTCTGCTTTTCAGATAATTTTAATTGCCCTAAAAGCATCAGTATTGTGACATATTCCATGTAACCTGCATACTGATATACAGTTTTGTAGTAAATAGATGAAAATATGTTTGTTTGAGAACTGGGTTCTGGGGATAATAATTTTGAAAACCAGAGGAACGACGATAACAAATCAAAACCTGATTCTGGAGGTACACATTCGAAATTTTGGGGTTATGTTGAATAAATTGAACACAGACAAACACTAAACTTAATTTACTCATTGGATTAAGCAACACATAATAAAGTAATTACACCATGAATTAAAACAGACGTATCGTGCTGGATCCCATGGTAAGCTGAAGACTCTGATGCCTTGCTTTCTGGATGACAACAAAAATTATAATGGTAGTCTCAGAACTCCTTCACATTCTACAGAGAATCTTTGGGATAAACCGAAAGTCGCAGAACATATACTCATTCCATCAAAGTCTCCATAAGCATTATCACCAGTACAGGTACAATAGGACATATGGAAGCCGACGTGCCGAGGGGACCTAATATGGATTCCACCTCACATTATATGAAATCTTAACTATTGTAATCTATTGTAAACAATTGTAAGTATTGTAACTTTATTCTCTTATTGTAATCAGCCACTGTACAGTAACTGACTTGTCCTATATCTTGTAACAATGATCTATAGAGACGAAATAAATAAATAAAACAAATAGCGTTTAGATGACAGTTCATGATAACCTCAAAAATTTTAGGCTTGAAAGAATTCTGTACGTTTCTAATTTCATTTGTGGTAGTAAGCATAACATTTATATACACAAATAATATGTTTAATATGGAGGTGTAACTTCGTTAGCAACCACATCAAATCAAAATTCATTGTTACCAATTTGCATGTAATGAACCAACGATAACTGCATATAATTTCGGGAATTCAAATTGGTTTGTTTAGCCTCTCTGATTGGTCGAGATGGTCGAGATCTGTGTGTAGTATCTTTAGTATCTTCCGTCTTTCATAGAAGGCAGTAGTTAACGGTAGTTAACGTGTTTCCCCTTCTCCTATGTCCGTTTCTACCCCCTGTTGTGTGGTATCCATATTATTATTATTATTAATTCTGTGTATTCATTTTTAAAAAAACTCCATAATCCGGAGTTTAAATGTCGCGAGGTTCGTATGCAGGTATGTCCGTCTCTTCTCTACGTTGCTCTGCAGTGTTTTTCAGATGCAAGGTTGTGTTTTCAAATCTGTACTGAAAATAAACAAGTGTTAAGCAATTTGAGTATAAATATAGTCTTTCATTTAGTAAACTTCAAGTAGAATAAGTTTAGGTATTTGCTTGCAGTACTTTCGCCGTCTCTGTAAATTTACGTTAGGAATGGCAGCTATGAATAAAACAGTTTTGGTGAGGGTGGATGATGAAGTGGAATAATTTAAGTTAATCCACTGTATAACGTCAATAAAAGGTTATATTTCTTTCTTTCTTTTTTTTCCCTTGGCACTACAGCCCCAGTGGGCCTAGGCGTACCTCCATGAACTTCTCCGTTCACTTCAGTTTTTCTAGATCATACACATTCGGTAGGACTCCTTGGGCGGGTGATCAGCTCGTCGCAAGGCCTCTACCTGTACACAAACACAGAAAAACGCACACACACTGGACTGGGGATTAGTGATGTGTGGTCATCATGAAATTGTAATTTTGTATTTTTATAAATGTAATGTTTTTATATCTTGGATTTGTTATATATGTTTAAGTTATATGACCAAAATATTCTGTTACCTTTGATGGAAACTTTTATCTTAAATTTTAATGTATTATGCTAGAGAGAAATTGTATTACGATGTAAACATACATTGTCTTATTTTATAAGTCTTCTTGACAATTGCTTAAGAGTATTAGCAAGATAAATTGACACAATTCTGTATCTAAGGCTTTTGCCTATTATAGATGTAATGGAATAAGGAAGAAATAATAATAATAATAAATAAAAACACAAACTAAACATCCATGCCCTGAGTGGGATTCAAACCCACGATCCTGCCTTCCAAGCGAGCTAAGACAGTGCATGCCTTAGACCGCTCGGCTACCGTGAATGGCCTTATATTTCATTATAGTATTCTTAATTTGCGCCATATTTTGTAAGGAAAATGCAGTCCAAACCTTTTGCCTGAATATGCCAGATATGTTGATTTGGAAAGTTCATAGTTCTTTATTTCATTCCATAGATCCATACAGTTGAGGATGTGGAAACAGTCATATAGGAGGAGCATTAAAAACATACGTAATTAATCAAAACATTACACAACATAACAACATTTGGCAGACAGTCATTACATTACATTACATTATTCTTGTCATATCCGAAATCAAAATATTCATCTAAAGTATAAAATGAATGATCGCATAAGAATTTTTTCAAATATGCTGTAACAAAAGTGTTAGTAGTGCTAGTAATGCACGAGGTAGGTAGAATATGAGTGTGAGAATTTCTACTAGAGAGTGTCTTAACAATATTCCAAGTACTTTTAATTCTATCATTGGAATTAGAAATATGCATATCATAATAAAGACACTTAGTTTTTAAAATGTAATGTGCCAATGAAAGTACATAATGTAAAGCACTACCAGATTTTTTCTGAGAAGTAGTGGGTCTGGAACAGGGTTCACTCAGCCTCGTGATGATAATTGAGGAGCTATTTCAAGGAACTAGCGGCTCCGGTGTAGAAAACCAAAATTAATGGCCATGGGGATTCCTTGTGCTGACCACATGACACCCTCTGTCCACAAAAGCTGGCACTAAACTTTGCCGACAAGCGGCAGTTGCTTTGTCAGTATAGTTCGCTTGTGGACTAAAATCACGGAGCTTTTCATTATTGTTGTTGTTGTTGTTGTTATTATTATTATTATTATTATTATTATTAAGATATTGTAATGACTAAATGTTGAGTTGAACAACTGAGTAGACATTTTTGTTGTTAAAATAATAGTTTTTAGAGTATTGGGTTTGTATATGTAAGACACCATTTATCATTTACTTATTTTGGATTTATTTACCAGTACTGTGCATAACTCAGACAGTTATAGTGTTGAGTGTTAGGATGAGGCCTAGAGGTGGCTCTGTAATGTTTTCAAAAAAATATACAGTTTGTGTTCAGTTTTCATGTAAAGTATGTTTTTGAATTCATATTCATTGTCCACTTTTATAGGATGTAGAGATTTAAAAATATGAAATAAGACCTGGAGCATTAAGGTATCAAATATCACATGAAAAGTAACGTTAGTCTATGATGCGTAAAAGTTGTGTTGGTGTAAAAGTACTGAGATGAAGATTTTTAGGGTAAAAAGTACTCATCCGAATTCTGCATAAGGGAAAATGAAAAGTTGTTTTTGCAAAGCTGCTTCAGATATTTGTTCACAGATTTTGTTGCAGTTTTATTTAAGCATTATTATGAGATGTAACACTGTTAATCAGTAACTGTGAATTGCCGCATTTATATTGTCTTAATTATTTACCTTGGAATATGAATCATGTATTGTGTAGCAGATTATATCATCTTCATGGTCAGTCAGCCAGTGGTGTTAAAGTACAGGAAGGTATAATGAAGCCAGGGAGGGAAGACCTATGAAAGGTTTTGATGATAGTGCTCAAGACTTTCTCCTTTCTGCATATTGCATTCCATTCCAGCCCCTTCTACTGTGTGCTAGCCAGCTGAGCTTGCTTGTCATAGTAAATATTACCACGAAGAATGCCATCATCTGGGATGTGGCGCCATGTAGATATTGTGATAACTGGCGTTTCGATGGCTGCAGACTGAGTCTGATTCAGTCTGCAACCACCTGCTCGTGCTGGTTCCTCTCTCGCAGATTTCTTATACCCTGAAGACAGACATGATATGTTCCTCCGAAACGTCTGTTAACACAATATCTACATGGCGCCACATCCCACAAGACAATATTCTTCATACTCATCGCCGTGAAAACCTCAAATCTTACACGATAAGTAAACCTCTCCAACATAATGTCATGAGCAGGTTATGTAATTTCAGCAGTTGATGTAACATTACTGAAGAGTTTGTGTATCTTGAAAAATAATATTTTATAATTTCAGATTGCTATATCTTTATAGAAAAACCCTTAAAATTGGAGAGACTATGATGTCCACTAAAGCAAAACAAAGTCCAAAGAAGGGCGTTGGGAAGCTCAAAGAATATGGAAAAGGCAATAACAGTAAAATTAAGGGAAGTGATTCATCAGATTCATCTGGAAAAGAATGTGTACTCTCCTTTCCTCTTCTGAAAACAGTGGATAATGACAGGATGCTGCCACGGTATTCTGCTATATTAAATCGAACAGAGGAAGATGGGGTTGGCATGGAAGATCTTGATGCACTGCAATTAGAACTGGAAGCTTTGCTGTCAGCTGTTGTCGTTCGGACAAGAGTGCTGCAGGTAGATAAATGAACCAAAAGTAGTAAGTAGGTGGTTCCATGGAACAAGGGCATCCCTGAAAAGCTAATAGTGGCTGAAATAGTCATGAAATTATCTGCCTTTTATGGTATGTGAAGATTCATTACCATGTTCACTAGAGCTCACTGTTGGTTCTATCCAAAGCCATGAATCCAGTTCATCCCCTAAAACCGTATATCTTTAAAGTAAATTTTAATTTTATCCTCTTACCTGTGCCTTGGTCTCCCACATGACACAGGTACGCATGAATGTATAAGGGGTGGGCCTTCTTGACCCTTGCACTGCGACCACAATGATCTGTTGTGCCTTAGATGACACAGGCAAATAAATGATATTTTATATTTACGATACATTGTGTAACAGTGTAATCGATTTACCAGAGTATAGTTAGATTACAACATAACATATTATATATCCTTATTTTAGTGGCCCAACATGTTTCAACATGTGAATGATGTCCTCAGGGGTATCCTTTCAATAAATACACTTTGCTCAGGGTTATTTTGCAAGAATGGACATAAAATTTCTGGACTAATTATAAAATTTGTCAGCAAGTGAAGTACACCATGTTAATAATAATTAAAATTCTTTTGTTGAATTCAGTGATCCTAATGTTCCAGAATTCATTAGAGAATTAATTGGATGATGTCATGATAAAAAGATGAATGAAATTGACAGGTGTTCATGTCATCAATTTCTTTTGGTATTAATGGTGTTAAATATTTAGGTTCTGCTACCAGAGTGTTAGTTCTTAGCTTTAAGGGGGTCCTTTGGATTATTAACTAACTACTTTCTCCCTACAGTTTGTGTACTGATTGAGCTATCATGAAGATTAATAATAGGAAGAAGTTTGTTAACACAAATAAAGCAGTGTTGGTGGTCCAGTTGAGTCCAAATGTAAATTAAAATAGTTGCTGTTTGTCATCTGTACATTAACTGAATCTTTCAGTCACTCTTGGCCTGTTACTGAGTAACAACTGCTGAACAATAAATTGTTCCACCTTTGACTTTCCAAAATGAATGAACAATTTGATAGCATAGTTAAAATGTTAGTCGTGTGAGTTATCAAACTTAACTAAAATAATGCAAATGTGAAATAAATATAAAAATTATGTGAGGTAAGCATTTTGTGGGATTGTTATCTTTACTGAAAGAAATTTGAGTTAGAACACATACAAATCAAGACTAAACAGAGATAGTTTTTAATCCATGGTCTTTAGGTTAAAGAATTAAATGGTATTTTACAATGAATCTACATGTTCTTTGAAAGAAGTGACACAACAGTATCTTTTCTTTTGACATTGTTGGTAACCAGGTAAAATTGTTGTAGTTTAAAACATTTAAAGTGATGGGTGACATTAAATATCTCCATCTTAATTTTGAATGAGATGATTTGCAGATAGTTTGATTTGTTTCCTTACAGGAAGAGATTCGTGTGTTGAGTAATGCAGAGGAGAAACGCAGTGGTGACACTAAGAAAGGGAAGTTTAACAACATTAGCCACATTCAAAAAGCACCCCTGTCTCCAGGAAAGCGGGCCAAACAGCAGGAGCGGCCACTGAAGAAACTGAAAGAAGCAAGTTCTTCAAAATCTCGAGGTGGTAGTGAAACAAATCAAGGTCCATTACCTATCAAATTCACCAAGGTTAAAAGTATTCCATCTTCGGCCTCTTCCAGACCTTCACAGAATCATGCCTTTCCAGATTATGATCATAATGATCAGTCTCGTCATGACGCACCCAAAATTGTCCTTCCTAAAAATGACACTCCAAACAAATTCTGGCTCTCTGTGGAACCCTACTGTACAGATATATCAATGGATGATATAAAGTTGCTTGATGAACTAATCTATGAACATGACAATGATACTGAGTACCAGAAAGTGCCAGTGTTAGGGCGCCATTACAGTCTGCGATGGGCACAGGAGGACTTGGAAGAACACCCTGATGGCAACACAAGCAAAGCAAAGTTGAGACCTGCAATAGCTCCTGTGGATGGAAGTAATATACTTAAAAGGCCAGATAGAGGAAATGATGTTGGTAACACAGGACCACTTACTCAGCGCTTGTTATCTTGTTTGATGGAGGAGAACATCATGGTCCCTACGCAAGATTCTTTTGATGGGAAGAGGTTTGTGCAGAGGATATGTAGTATTAACCTTTGTGATTGATAGGATAGCTCATTTTTGTATTAAATGTTGTAAGGTAGGCTTCTGTTCCAGACTGAGAATCTAGTAAAAAGCGTATGCAGGGATAATAGTTAAATAGGGCTAGATTTATACTTTGCATGTTTCTCTTATGTCAGCTTGGGGATTCCAGTATGACAGTATGCTCTTCCCTTCTATAACATAAGTTTCACTAATGCAAATTGCAGTTTTATTACTACAAAAACATTGGCAGCTGTTGTTTATGGTTTGCATTAATGTGAAAAAATTAAGAAAACTGAAAGAAATTGCAAGTTGTATTGTGCCCATTTACTATACAGAGCATGAATCATAAAATACTTCACATTACATTTTCAGAATTCATTACAAACCTGAGAAGGCCAGTTTGGATGACTGAATGGTGTGGCTTAGTACTGCATATATCAGTTTGCACCCTTAAATTGTTTTCATGGTATTAGAATTTAGGGATACTCTTCATGAAGAGTATCTTCTGCACCAGTTGTCTAAATGACGTAAATAAGGAAACATGTTATTTGAATGATTTATTTGTTAAGTGTATGAAAGTAATTAGTACCCTATGATTGGCGTCATTGTATCATGTCAGTAACTGTTGATTGTCTAACATCAGAAAATTAACTGAATGGTGGTTATGAAAAATTTCTTTATTCATTAATGTTAGTTGTGTTGTGCATTAGTTGCAGTTACTAGTTTATATGTGCATGGTACTAGAAATTGGTGCTGATTTTGCAATATTCCTTGTACAGTTAAAAGCTATGGCTCATAATCATGTTCAGTTGAAATTTTTTTGTTGGTTTATGAATTTATTACATGCATTCTTGCTCATGACTGTCTCTATACTGGTAGCACAATTGTATAAAACAGATAATTCATAAAAAAATTGAATTTGGATTCACAGTATCTTCTGTTCATAATCAGTTCTGTATTCAGATATGTATGTGACAGTTACAACTGCCATTATACTGCTAAAAAAAGAAATTATTAGTTACTCCCATTCACATATTTACAGTGATGAGGTAACCCATTAAGATCTTCTGTGACATCTTTCATAGCCTTGGAATTCTATTTAAATATGTAAAAAGGTAAATATTACTTGGAAAAGGTGAAGGCTGACTTGTGAGGTAGGTATTTTGGCCTTTCATTTTCCTGAGTCAGGCTCGCTATTGTACACAATAGGTTGAACTCTTGTCTCTACAAATCATTCCCTTCTTTTCATTGGTCACTTAAACTTAAAATTGAATAAGCATGTTAATTTTTTTTTTATGAGTTTTATATAGCTCCATAAAATTTGTTGCTTCAAGCCTCTTGTGCAAGATGTCTCAGTAATTGTCATGCTATATATTTTGTCCTAATTCTGTTTAGTTAGTATGATGATATTAGTGGGTTTCTTGTCAGAAAGTGACCCAGGAGAGTTGATATCTAGTTGAAACCGAATTGTGTCATTCTTGTGGCATCACATCTAAATACATTAAGACAAAAAATAATGACATTTGTTTTTAAGCAGGTTAAGATATAATGGCCCCTATAAAAGAGCAATATTGAATCAGTTGTTGAGTTTTACTGTTCTTAGGTACAGATTATTTTGAACTTTTGATATATTCCTTGTGAGAGGATGGATGTCTTGTTTAGTATGTATTTGTAGAAAATCTGAAGATTTTGTACAAACCATGTCCCATCACTGATCAGTAACTACTAACAATCTTGAATCCCAGTGTGGGTTATGTATTATTCCATAGTGTGCCTTAAATTTAATTATGTATTGTAATGCTCTTTTTATCACAACTTTCTTGCTACTACACACAATTCGATACTTAACAAGTATTGAACCCTGTAAACATCAAATGACAGAAAAAGAAAAAATTCTGATTTAATATCACATGTGAGTTATGTATAATCCTTGTATTGCTAAAAAATCAAAATTCCATTAACTTTTTTAATTGTTGTATGCTTATAACTTAGGAGGTGGATTGTGATATGTAGCAGCCTTAACAGCTCAGATTTCATTATGCTGTATCATTCCTGACCACCCATGCACACAGTGGTTTGAACTTGCAGTATAAATTAAGAGAATATCTTGACTGCTACATGCCTTGAAAAAAATGATAACTCCTGGCATGGGAGCATGTGGTAACTTGTCATATACATGAATGGTTCAGTGCTGATATTTATGCATCGAGTTTTCGTTGTTTTATTGGTAGAATTAAGTAACTGTATTTAATCCACCTTATGTTATAATGCAGGTGCAGGGGTGGAGAAAATACTAAACCAGTGAGGAACTTCACAGTGTCTGGAGCGTCCTCACTTGAGCGGCGCGTGAGAAAAGAGTTAGAAGGCCAAGGCATTCTGGACAATTCTGAGCAGAAAGAACCAGCTGATGATGAGATTCTCACAGAACTTAAAAGATGTCAAGGAGAGCTAAAAGTGAGTATTTGTCTCTAAATCAATTTCTATAATTTTTATTCAAAGACTGCCAGTGCTGTTTCTGAAGGAGAAGGGGAGGAACTACATGTACAAGGTTCGACAATTTAATTCCCAAAATGGCCGCAGTGTGTTGCTGGGGTGTTGAGTCAGGCAAACTCATGTACCCAAGCACATTTAGACATGTTTCAACTTTTGTTTACATGAGCTGCAGACCAAATGAGTCATTTGTTCGCAAGCAGCAGAGGAAGTAGTACTTATCCATGGTATACCATTGGCAGAAAAATGAATGACAAGAATCTGGAGCAGTGGATAAACACCAAGTTTTGTGTGAAGTGCTAGGGAAATGTTAGCCCTATTAACAGTGGCTTATGGTGAATACGCTATAAAGAAATTAAGTGTTTTTGAATGGCATATGGGAGAAGATGTGCAAGATGGCCCAAGAAGTTTGCAGGCAAGAACACAAAGGACAGATGCAAATGTGGACAGAATATGAACCTTGGTGTGCTCAGATCAAAGATTAGTTTGAGACTGATAGCAGAAGAACTGAGAATGACTAGGAAAACAGTGCGACATCTTATTATGCAGGATTTTGGAATGAAAACAATTTCCACAAAGACTGGTGCCTCGAATCTTGACAGATGACCAGAAAAAATGTCAGCTTCACATTTCATCTTATCTTTTACACAATGTAGATATATTTGATAGGGTCATTACCAGTGATATAACATGGTGTTTTCAATACAACCCATAAACGAAATACCAGAGCATGCAATGGAAAACACAGAATTCTCCTCGGCCAAAAAAAGCACACATGTCTCGCTCACAGTTCAGGAGCATGCTTATGTGTTTGTTTGATCACAAACGGATAATTCACTGTGAATTCATTGTACAAGGGTAAGTTGTGAATCAGCAGTGTTATTCGGAAGTGCTGACAAGGTTACAGGAGAAAAAGACCCAAACTCTGGCCTGACAAGTGGATTCTCCACCGTGACAGTTCCCCTGCACATGATGTGTTAAGAGTTCTTGAGTTCCTGTCTAAAAAATCCATTACAGAAATGGACCATCCACCTTATTTACTTGACTTAGCCCCTTGTGATTTTTGGCTCTATTCTAAATTAAAAAATGCCCTAAAGGGACAAAGATTTTCTGACATTCCTGACTACCAATGCAACGTGGCGTTACTGTGAGGTATTCTGGAAAACGATTTTCAAGACTGTTCCCAGGAGTGACATCATGGTCTCACGAAGTGCATAGCTTCACAAAGAGAGTATTTTGAAGGAAACAGCAGCCGCTAAGCAAATTTTGCTTTCACAGGGCCATACCGGGAATTATATTGTCACACCTTGTAAGTGCATGTGCACAGTTCACTATGAATGATAACTTCAACCATGAGACTTTAGTTTAAATGCATGGGTGGTAGGCTTGCTCTGAGTATCATAGATATGAAAGGAATCTGAAAACAGTGAATTGATTTTTATTAATTTTGAGTATAAGTATTGCATGTGACTCTTAATTCAGTTACAGGCGATCTTCATGATGAAGGTATGTAAATATTTTTAGCGAGTAATTAATTTTTATGGTGATAAACAGTATGATTGCATCTTCATGGACATCTTGCACATTGTGTTGATACAAATATTTTTGAACTGACAGTATTACTATGTTTTTCATGATGTTTGAAGGTTATATCAAATCACAACATTCATCAGCTAAAACGTCTCAGGAAGCTTGCTTGCGATGAAATGTCCCGGCAGGAACTGAAAAGGAAACTCCAGTTAGCTGATAGTGAAGTCCTTGAGATCTACAGAAAGATTACAGCATCTAAACAAAAGAAGAAGCCACCAACAAAAGAGGAGACAGATCTGGCTTGGAAAAGTTTGAAAGATAGGGAGTTGCTGCTGAGGCAGATTGACAACATGTAAATCAGAGTCTGTGTACAGTTTACATATATGGTAGAGTAGTGATTCTGAAACTGTGAAGTGTCGTCTGCCAGGTGATTACATGGGCACGGGTGCTCAGTTATTTAGGCAGGCAGGCCGTGTTGTAAGATGTGCTACAAGGACTGGAGAATTCAAATATCTCTATTGCAGCCAACACAGAACTGAAAATTATGATGAATATAGCCTAAGCATATCTTATTAATATGGAACTTTGGCCTGTCTTTGCTCCTCAAGATAATTAACCTTTGGCGTCATTTTTGTAATACCACCATGTTTGTGAACATTGGTAATTCTTGAATGTGACTTCGATTTACTTAGTTTCATATGTGACAATCCTGTTCATATGTTTGTTAAAGCTTCTTGGTTAAAACTGCTCAAAATTGAATCATATTGGATTTTATTTGATCAGAGTTGCATTTTTCTGAGTCATCACTGAAATCGGGGGGAAAATGGGTTTTCAAAGATGTGTAATTTAATTTAATTTTTATTTCATCCATGGATCATTATACATGATATGGGACAAGTCAAAGATTAATATTAATACTAATACTAAATAATAATAAGAATATAACAATACAGAAATAATATGACAATATAATAATAAANATAATAATAAATGACTATAATAATTTAGCAGTCTTGAAAACAGTTTCTGTGGTCTTGAATCCTCCTTAAGATGGCACCAGGCAGATAATTCCCAGAAGCAGTCACGAAGTGTTATTTCCTGGAGAGATAAATAAACTGAGCAGTAAGCGTTCTCATGACTTATATTATTCAACACTATGAGGCTAGTTGATTCTTGGAATATATAATTTAGACTGACTACAACTCTTTTCTAAAAAAATAAAATACTCGTCTACACTGTAAAAATAATAAATGAACTGAGCGGTAAGCGTTCTCATGACTTATATTATTCAACACTATGAGGCTAGTTGATTCTTGGAATATATAATTTAGACTGACTACAACTCTTTTCTAAAAAAATAAAATACTCGTCTACACTGTAAAAGCAATGATCAAACAGGAAGTTTTTCAAAAGCATTCTTGAATCTGTATAGTGCTGGTGTCTCCTTAATGTAATACGGTAAAAGACTGAACATACGAAGTCCAGTATTAATAAAATTGTCTTTGCATAAACTGGTATTACATGAAACAATATATAGGTCATCTTTTCCCCTTGTATTATATGAATGTATTTCCGAATTGGTTGCAAGAGTATTCAAATTTGATTTTGTGTATACTAGAGTTTCATAAATATACAAGCATGGTAAGGGCAATATATTTAAATAATTAAAATACTGTTTACAACTAGTAGTTTTCTGAATTTGCATCATAGCTCTAATAGCTCTCTTTTGCAACTTAAAAATCAATTTAGCATTTGGTGAGTTGCCCCAGAATAGTATTCCATATGATAACAAGGAATGAAAGTAGGCATAATATAGAGTACGAACAGACTCCAGCCCTGATACTCTTTTTACTACTTCTAGACCAAAGCATATTTTACATAACTTTTTTGCCGGTTCCTGGGTATGCATAGACCACCTTAACCTTTAAACGACTAAAGACAACGTATGTCGTCGCAAAAATAAAGGCAGCGGTACGAATGACGCCATATGGGGTCGCACAGTCCGCGCGTGCGGACGTTATTTGAAATACATTTTTAAGGTAGAAAATAATGTCCTACTTATATAATTTTTGGCCACCATCTGCATGGAGTGTCTGTCTTCCAACCTGCATCATCTGCTGGAATGTTGCCTTCGTGTGGAATTCTAAAAAAAATCCGGAAATGCAGAGTACGATTTCGCACTTCACGCACTTTGTCCGGACGGTCTTTCGTTTCCCACGCGAAAAGCACACATGACACCTCAATTGCGAAGTAGAGGAAGTCGGCCAGTGATGTGGTTTGGCC